CCTCTTTTGCTTCGGGAATTTTCCATGTCCCATCCATTTCATAGCCTCGATTTCGTATTCAACCTATTCTAACTGTCATCTTCCTAGATTAAATACGAAGAACTGCCCAATTTCACCGAAGTAATGGCCGCCGGAACTGCCGCTGCTCTCGTCCCAATTCGCTCCATTACCCGTTACTCCGATAACAAAACTACAGAATATATCCCTTCATCCTCCGAAGAACCCGGTGCTATCTGCGAGAAGCTTCTCAGCACCCTTAAGGGCATCCAAGCAGGAAAGCTTAAGGATACATTTGGCTGGAACAAGATTGTCGAAAAATTGGATGTCAAGGACTTCACTACAGAGGCAAATGATACCAATGGTTTGAATGGAAATGTGGATAGATTGCCATAGATTTTAAAGAGGTTTCCATTGAAATAAATCTAAAAATAAAAAGAACGGTACGGCGTTTAGTGGCTGGGCATTAACAAATTATACTATCTATCTCTCAATAGAATTTAAAGTGCGGACCTTTAAGAATTAAAACTTCTTCCCCGGATCTCGTGCAATCAATTGAATAGCGGTATTACGTCATAGCCCCCAAGCGCCCGTTTTTCTCGCTTAGTCATTTGGTCTGGATCTTTCTTATTATTTCTCCTCTTCACAGCCAACCATGCTTCGCGAGACACGAAATCAAGAAACAAGTACATGAATGAAAATCATCCATTCATTTCGGACCAGCACAACATGATTAATATAACGAAACGATGTGAGATGGGGGCCTCTTTATTGAGTGGAGGTTGCTTGCAAGGTTGGTGGAGTCGGGAATCAAAAGTAAAAAGGTGAATGGATGGCCAAGGGTTCTCCGGATCTTTTCTTTGTACACCGGCGAGGCAATGCTGGTCATTTGCTACTTTTTTTGTCCTTGGTTTACACTTTCCAAGCTCGGTGTTCTAGGACTGATGAACATTGGGTTCCAATCACAAGTAAGAGTATATATGCGAGGACTTATGGGACTCGGGATGAGATGTGTATGATGTCGATGACCACAGACTTCAGCTCACTTTCATCTCACGACATTTCTTGTTTATGACACCAGGGCATTTGCTATCTGTATTTGTATATTCTGCTACAACGGAATACCTCTTGCTGCCACCATAAAGTTAGTTTGTCTATATACGAGTACTCTGGTTTACATAGAATCACTTTTACAAGCCCATTACAAAACCACATCTCACAATGCTTATTCGCGTACCCATAAATCTCCTTCTCCTGTTACCTCTGGCAACTGCAAGAACCACAACTGTTAAAACAGTCACGGAATCGGCAGCTTCTCAACCAACTTCTACATCATATACCTCCGATTCTCAATTCCAATCCGATATGATCGCGGCGCATAATTTCTATCGGGGAGAACAAAATGTTAGTAACTTGGAGTGGAATGATACCAGTGCGCAGTTTGCGAAGGATTGGTCCAAAGGTTGCGTCTTTAAACATTCTGTACGTCAAGTCCTTCTTTTCTATCTCGCATCCCTTTCCCAAGTTAGAAAGTCTGCAAAGTCAACCTTTCAGACTAGTAACAACAAACTAATACTCATCAACAGGGCGGACCGACAGGCGAAAATCTAGCAGCCGGCTATTCCAATGCGACCTCCTCCGTCGATGCCTGGGGCCTCGAACGCCTCAAATATTCGTACTCCTCTCCAGGTTTTAGCGAAGATACAGGTCACTTTACACAATTAGTCTGGTCAAATACCACATCTGTCGGTTGCGCGCGCACCAATTGTGCAGGAGAAAATGACACGCCGGGATGGTATGTAGTGTGTGAGTATTGGCCCGCGGGGAATGTAGTAAATGGGGGAAAGGGGGATAAAGAGGAGTTTTTCAGAGATAATGTGAAAGAGCAGGTTAAAGGGGAAGCGAGCGATACGGTGGAGAGTGGAGTTACGAGTGCCGGGAGTAGTATTGCGGGAGGTAGTGTGGTGGGGTGGAAGGGGAGAGAAGGAGAATTGAGGTGGGGTGTCTTGATGGGAGTTGTGGCTGTAGGGGCTGCGGGTTTAATGTTTTAGGATGTGTATTTGATTGGGATTTTGGCACGGACAAAGGCGAGTGGAGGCAAGGTACGAGAAGGCTGTTTCGCTTCAGCGCGGTGTTTGGAGTTCTGTATTTGCCTTGGGAAACGGATACAAACATGAGATCAGGCGTAGTGGAACCAATTTGGCAATTGCTTTTAGTCGGAGCTTGGAAGAATATACCCCATGATACAGGAGAATGGAGCTACTTGCTCGATGGATTTGATAAGTCACAGACCAGAATGTATCTTAACTATTTCTGTTCTAGTACACATGCGATTTCTCCATTCGCTGTGGAAGTGATAATAATAAATTTTCTTTCTTGACAATGACTAGACGGGTCAGTAATGCGTGTATTCGGCTAGGGTGGAACATGGAGAAAATAAAAGGGGGGTGAGGGGAGCGTGGCGTTCAATTGACTAGAACTGATCTTGCCTATGGTTTCTTGTTTGTTTTAGGAGAAGATTTGGGAGAAGACTTGGGAGTTGGAGATATGAAGTGTTTGATAGAAACGAGTGAGTTCGGGTTGGAATATTTGGGGGGGAAAGGAGATGTGATGTTGTGTTAATAGTATGTTTCTATCCCTGCCTAGGTGTGTAAAGCTTTGCTTCGCTCTGTGAGATCGATGTGTGTTTAGTTAGGTAATACATGATAATTTGATTAAGAGAAGGAGAATAGTCTTGATGCGGGAGAGGGATAGTCTTGAGTGTATTGCGGATGGGGGGTGGAAGATGAGGAAGAAGTACATGGCCAGGGATTGATGTTTATTTTATCTTAGCTGGGGACTTGAACACTCAGGTTGAGAATCGTCTAGGCAGATATTTGTTTTTGAGTAAAAATCTACGTTGAAAATTATATTCATTTAGAATTGGGGATGGATTTAATTCGCCTGAGCTGCATTTATATCTCGTAGGATGGGTAGTAAGGCATTGTGAAGTCATCTGCATTATGAATTACTTTTAAATTAACAGCGAGGTAAGCCAACTGACCCATCCCGCCTCCTTATTTTCTTAGCCAAAATGAAGGTTCTGCATCTTGTAGATTTGTACAAATATAATCGTATGCTCGCTAAGTTTTATTTTATTTTAAGAAAATAGATACATCCTCATTTTGATCATGTTAAATAGTGTCCTCTCGTTCTCTTTAGTCCAGTACTCAACTCTTGAATGTTTTCTAGAGCTTATCGAGAAAGAGAACCCTGATTCCTTACTACATTTAAATTTGTGTCTATAAATCGCACCGAAAAATCGATGTGTTGTGTTTTTCACATTGGGAAGTCAAAATGCTAAAGAGTGTGAATTCTGGTAATTCAAGAGGTGAACATTCAACATATGCTCTAATTTGTGAGAAGTAAAGAAGGTGCATATTACCTTGTTGCTATTTTAGCCAAAATTCAAGATGAAGTTTTTGACCCAAGTGGTTGTAATAGCCCAAAGACTTATAAAACAACATAACGTCTGCAATCCTCGAAAACGAGGAAGTATCATCACAATCTTGATTATGCAACATTCATCGAAATATCACCAGGGCAATTTTGCACAAAATATAGCAGAGAAAATTACAGAGAGAACATTTTCTTAATTTGACTTTACTTTAATGGTCGACAGACAGGTGCGTTGCCGCAATGAACAAGCAACAGAATACCTGTTATCTCTCCTCACACTTCCAATCAGTCTATATGAGCCTGTATACACAACGAATTCTTAGCTGAACATACCCTTCAACAATTTCCCGCATCGAAGTAATCTGTGTGCACCCTTCACGGAGCGCGATGCTTATAGTTCATCGTCCGAGTCTAGTCAACCGACCAGAGACCTCTCTTCGCAGCCATTCTTCGCAAAATTGTCGATCCTGGATACTATTCAGGATTCTATTGTTCAATTAGCCAGGATATCAAAAGTTAGAGAGAACTGCTTACCGGTAGTTGGATTCTCCTCAACTAGATAGTATTCCGCAGTCATTTGAGAAAATTTCCTTGCCCTAACACTGGCAGGTAATTGTGCCTTAAGGACTGTCACAATATCCCTCAGCATCTCCACGGGGGTAATCATTCAAATCCTCGTCATAAATATTAGCGGTCCAACAACTCTGCTCAACCACAAATCGACGCAGAGCGCTACCCTCAACTGTATTCTCATAGGCATATCCATAATGGGCTGGGATGATTTGTCTACAAGCGGTCGCTTTTTTACAAAGATTGTGCACAATATAATTTTGAAGTCGGCGAATTAGAAACTTTTCTGCCAAAACCCAAAGGTGTAGCACGATGCCATCTTCAACTATACACTGGATCCTCGAATCGATATCGACGCCGTGGCTGTCATCCAATTCTCCTGAATGAAAAAAGTTGAACTTCTCTCGGTAAATTCATTGTGTCAATAATCGAAATTCCTCGGGGTTTGCGTCTTTAATAATGTAAGTTTGTGTCTGTCCTTCGATAAATGGGCTATTGAAAGCCCGATCCTAGACTTCCGAATGTTCGCATGCGATTTGTTTGTGTATGACCATTTCGTTTGGGGAAGAGAACGGCTTATTCTTAGGTTTTGGAGGAGGAGGAGGAGTTGTTATCTCCTCAGCTGGCGGCTTCGATGGTGAAGACATTGTCTTCGTTGAGGTGGAAATCAAGTAATTGGTTTGTGAGGCAGACTTGGTGTGGTGCTATCTGGGGAGATATCAATTCCACTACTGAACAGAATTGGTTGTAGAAACGATGGAGAAGTTATGATTTTGGAGGGCGAGGAAAGTTTTTATAAGTTTGCTGCTACTTGGGTGAATGCTTCAGAATACTTTTGTTGCTGAAGATGATAAATGAAATTTAAAGCAAATGAACAGTGAACGTTTACAATGGTTGAACTGACTTCAGTGGCCTGGAAAGTGTTGATATTCCAGTCCAGTCTTAACTCCTCGCTCAATTCGATGTGCCAAGCAGATTCAATTCATGAATATTCATCAAAAAAAGAATTTCTTACTGTTGTGTTATAGTAGGAATGATCAAGAGAGTTCTAGGTAGAATATGAGTCTCCAATTCTCTTTCAAGACCAGAGCCAACTATCGATATCCCAAACCCCTATCTCCTTCAATCCAATAAAAAAGACACACAATTCGCTAGTACCAATTACCAGAATTCTCTGCATTCCTTCCTGCCATGCCCTTTTACACCTATTCGCCTATGTTATCCCCTCAAAGACTTAGAAAGACAGAAGTTCATCATCGTTAGACCTCTCACTTTCTCCTTTCTCCCCCTTGATTCCTTCCCCGATCAAATCAGATTCCTGACTTTTCAACGACCAAGAAACCACTGCGATTTACCACCATTTTTCTTCTTGTACAAGGATGCTGTAATTTCCTTTGCGTACTGAGTTTCCATAGCTTGCCTACATTCGAAATCTTCATATGCGGGACCTACTTGTATGCAGTCCAAGTCTGGACAGCAAACCCTGATACCGCTTATGGGATTGCATTTCACTGTTTTCTTCTTAATTTCAAAATTTGAAGAAGAGGCAAGAAGAAAGAACTTACTGTTCATTGGTTTACACTTGGGCAATTTGGTGATATCGTCTAGTCTAGGCGGCATTTCGATTACTTTCAGAAAGTCCCACTTATTTGCTTCTTCTTTCTTCTCTTCTTCTGATTCAAGACTTTCATCCACATTCGAGTTCAAGTTGAATTTCAAGTTCTGTTTAGGTGACAGATATGGTTTGCGCAATACATCCAAAATTTCTTCATCTTCAGACTTTGAATCAAAAGGCGGATGGCATTCCCCCATGCTTGAACTTCGGGGCAGGTAGCAGACAAGTGAGGGGCAACAGTGTTCGCCTTGATGAAAATCGCAAGACGCTATTTTTCCGGTCATGAGTTTTCATAAGAGTGTTTGAATTTTGGAAAGGACAATACATACAGCTGGCTTCACTACACGTTTCCTTCGCAGTAATCGTTTCATCACCTAATCTCAGAGAAAACTCTATTTCCATACCAACACCTTCACCAACCTCTTCATGTTTAGACTGAAGAGCGAGGGTATTCAGAACCATCGAGGCCTTTTCTCTAAACGTACGAAGAATCTCATGGAAAGTATCCAATGTCGATCTGGTAATCGGAGGCCCATCATCATCTTGATATTCGCAAAAATGGATACCATAACCGTCTAGTTGACATGTTAGGCCCGAGTTTTTACAACAGGGTGCCTGGACACAGAGACCTTATTTTATTTAGTATGTGAACGAGAGAACGAGATAAGAGGAAGATTTTACCGCCATACTTGGTGCATGCTCCATCTTGAGCGGTCGCTTTGGACCCGATACTTCCAACTGGATTTAAGACAGCGAAGGAGGATGCGATCGATAAGAAAAGTATGACTTGGAATATTGGGGCGATGAGTAGCATCTTAAGTGGCAATCTTTTTCATCTGTTATCAAGCTGCTATCTAATTTAAGGGGGGGTCGAGGGTCAATGAGCCTTAAGATCGTTGATCAATGTTGATATCACGATTCCCCGCATTCTTTGATCCCATAAATCGGAGTCGCATGCCACACACAATTTAAGTTTTGATGTTTTACATTCCAGACCGTTGAGGCGCGGCAATAGATAGTGAATCACTAGAAAATCGCGGGTTCTGTAATTAAAAATGGAGAATTCATATTTGTATTGAAATTTGAAATGATGTTCTCGAAAGATGTTGACATAAATTTTTGGTGTCGCTTATACGACGCCATTTATTAGCCAGCGAGTAACATGTTGCGCTAATGTACAGCAGATGTCTAGGCTATCAATACCTCTTTTTGAGGTGCGCTTAGAGAAGTGACGTTGGAGGAAATAGCAATGAAGTTTCGATCGATCTGAAGCTTGGATAACGGATTAAAAAATGTTGATGTGATGTTCAGGATAGTTTTTGTTCAATGCGGATGAAAGTTGCCATTTTTGAAATTTGTAAAAGCTCACATCAAAAGTTTGGATATTCGGTCAACCCTAGATATTCAACTTTAAATTCAAATATAATCAAAATTCAGAAGAAAACATAAATATAGTGGGGATTGAGAGGCAGTAAGGGTTTCTGCCTCTTACGGGCGTCAGCTATATTGTTTTGCTTCCTTTTTGTCTTCTAGGTTGCAGTGGTCTGGATCTCAAAAGAATAAGCTTTAAATCGAGGTCCGAGTGACAATGCTAGGCAGTCAGCTCCCCAGAACTACCTATCGGGAAAGGAATCAGCGAAAGAACCTCCATCTACCATGATTGGGTGGGCTGTGAAAGTGGATAGCTCCTCGAAGAGCATTGGAATTTGAAAGTTTCTGCTGAGATTCCCATCTGGAAACAGGAAATAGGAGATGGATGATTTTTGTTTATTTGTCGACTAGTAGCTAACTGCTAGAAACGGTGAGGTTACAGCTGGACTTGGTCTAACGGGCTACCATACCTAGAGCCTGGCTACTGTACGTAGGTGTTGTTCTACGACGTAGGTCTGATAGCTTCTAGCCTAGCCTTGAATGTCGGGGTCACATCGCACACGGTCATACATGGATCATCTCGAAGGGTAAGCATGGGTGGGTACTCCGAAGTCCGTCTACGCAGAAGTAGCACGATCTAAATGCTCTTTTTCACTACTTCCTCATCGACATGTAATTTAACCATCTTATTCACCAGTTTGATATCCGTCTACAGTATGAAGTTTCTGAGCTGACTATCTACAGAAATCCAGGCAATCTGGGCTGAGTTTGATTTCTTTTTATATGTACGAAGTACCACTCTTGATAGAAGCCCCCATAATAACAATAACAAGTAATGACTCTTTACTCTAATAGAGTTTGGAGAGTGCATTTACCCCATTCACTGAGCACGGAAAGATTTGTACCTTTAGGGCTAGCTTGACTTTCATGATCCTCTAAAAACTTGAAGTTGGTAGGTATCGTGAAACTGGAAACTGTTACTGAAGAAAGGTAGAGACTCTATGACAGCTACTGTCAGCATTATAACGATTTCAGATTCGATGTCTTCTCAGATGCTACTTGGATTTGGAATTCTACGCAGCGAGTCAGGAAAGGATTAACGATGCCGATGCCAATGGTAATTATTGCACAATCCCATTCGTGGCTTCCCGTTCGCACGGGCCACATCCGTCCTTTCCTGCTACAGTAGTTTTATTAGTAAGCTTCAATGATAGGCTTTGTAGAAAGTAATAAATGGCAAACACGGTGATACTCATATATTTCTCTGAATTTCTGATCTTGCTCTGCCCATTATCTTCTCTCTAATGAATGATGAGTATGAAGTACACAGTGACGTCTCCTTGGGCTCAACAATAAGCCCTTGAAGTAAGTCAAGATCAATACGATATCTCGTCAAAAGATATGAAGTAGGTTGGTTGTTGTTACAATGAGGCAAAATCTTCCATTATCAAGATTCAAGATGATAATGAACTCTCGTCTTTGTCACGCACGATCTTAGCCTTGCCAATTTCCACCTTTGGTAAATCCTTTGGTATGCTTTGATGAATTTGGAGGAGGGGCAACTTAGCTGTGATATACTGTACAAAATCTCAAATTGCCCCCGTCGAGCCCGTGTTAAAACATTTGTTTGCTTCTTTGCATTCTAGAGCTCCTTGCACTTCACGCATAAAGTTTTCGGTATCCTTGTCACTGCGGAGCATTTCCCGTGGCTGGTGTCGATAGGGATTCACTTCGATCTCCATAGCATGGCAACTAACCATGGGATCGCTCGTCGAGCGGTCTCTAGACCTTAAGCTAGACCAAGCCTTTGCTCAAATACATTTAATTCCCATGCATTGATAGATCTCACTTCTATACTGACCACAACTTCTTTTCTACACGTTAACCAAGCGTTTAGAGATGGACACGTTCAATGTTCAATCTTCTGCTTGGTAGAATACAATATGCTGAATGATGTCCAACATAGAACCAACCCCTTCCAAGTCGGTGGTTTACCCATCGGTTGAAGAGTTTCAAGTCGAACGGATATTTCCCATTCGAAATCTTGTCAATGGAAGAGACCTCGATACTGAATCGACCTCGCAAAATGCCGACGATGTTTCTTCTTCGAATTCAAGCTGTCGAGGTCCTAGTTCGGCTCAAGAGCCTTACGATAAAGATGACATTTTGAATGATAGTCATTCCGATGGCTCTAGCGAAACGAACTTTTTGCCACCGCCTTATCCACCCATACCTCCCGATGACCAAATTCGCAGATTACCTAAACCTCCGGTACATGATTATTCAACAGATATTGGCGGTGGTGAAGGCGCATCCGAGAATGAAGATAGGAAGATATCGCAACGTTCACAACTGATCCCTTCGAAATCGGGTCCTCCAGGTATAGCCCCCGGCGAACCTGTGAGCACTGAGGAGCGGACCTTTTTCAAGTGTGAAGATGAACCTATACATATTCCAGGAGCAATTCAACAGTATGGTGCATTGCTCGCCTTAAGATACAATGATCAAGGAGATCTCATGGTTCGAATTGCAAGCGAGAATGCGTTCAAAATATTGAAATATACCCCAGAACAACTCTTCTCGTTAAATTCTTTCCTTGATCTCCTCGGCGTTGACGTTCGCGAAGATTTTATTGCAAGAGTGGATCATTCTCTTCGAGCTGTCACCAAAAATCCATCTTCCGATACAAAGCTGGATGTCTTCTCCATGTCAGTTGTTGCGCACACAGGGTTGGTAAATCTTTGGTGCGCAATTCATATATCTAAAGGCACTGATGATTTGATCATCTGCGAATTCGAACCATTCTCGGATGAAATGTTTTTTTCTGAAGAACGTCATAAAACCACAAACGATTTACCCAAATTGCCGACGCGAACTATCGACAATGACACAGTACTTGGAGAGCGACTGAAAAGTATCTCCAGTGGAAGTCAACCCCTTCGTGTCTTGCAGATTGCTAAAAGAAAGGGCAGGCATGCTGTTGGTTCTCTGGAAGTGTTTAATGCTATGACACAAGCACAAGAACAACTTGCTGCATGCACTTCCGTTCAGAAGCTTCAAGACGTCTTGGTGGGCCTCATATTTGACTTGACGGGCTTTCATCGAGTCATGTTCTATCGATTCGATTCCACCAAAAATGGGTGTGTGGAGGCTGAATTACTGAATCCTAAAGCTAGTGATGATATATTTAGAGGACTGCATTTTCCAGGTTCGTTTTGGGATGAAATTCCCCTTTCCTCCCCATTTCAAATTGATTAGCGAGAACTCATAATCTATAGCTTCGGATATTCCTAAGCAAGCTCGGGATTTATACAAGATTAATAGGATTCGAATGCTTCATGATCGAGATGAAGAGACCGCACGATTGGTAAGCAACGATTTAGTTACTTTGTTTTTGTTTCCATGTGGATGGCAGCTACGTGCCGTTTTTTGGCCCTGTGACAAAAGCCAAATTAATAAACTCCGCCTACAAAAAATTTCATGTTGAGAACTTGGATTTATTTCGAACATCAAGTTCGATGTGTCTCAACAATTTTGAAGACGTGGTCCTCAAATACGCCAGCTAATAGATGCGTCAATACAACACTCGCTTCGCCGTGCTGATAATATGATAGATCTGTCGTGATCAGTCAGATTTTGAAAAGCCCCTCGATTTAACGCACGCTTATTTACGCGCCATGTCGCCACTTCATTTGAAGTACCTTTCGAATATGGGAGTACGTTCGACAATGTCAGTTTCCATTGTAATTGATGGTGATCTTTGGGGACTTATTGCATGCCATGGGTATGGCAGTCATGGCACCCGCGTAACTTTACCAATGCGCGAACGTGAGTGTTCTCCAAGCTGTCACACTCTTTTTCAGATTGTCTCTTTGGTTTTTTACCTAGATTGGTTGTTGTTTCCAGACGCATCGGATATGTGTTGAATTCAAAAGAATCATTTTCCACTTTACTCTGTTTCGAACAAGAAAGCTAACTCTGCTTTCCCTTAAATAGTCGCCAGAAATATTGGAGAATGTGCTTCAACAAATATTGAGCGATTGTTGATGCATCAACGTATTGAAGCTCGCAAAGCACCACGTCAGAATCCAGGAAAGACACCTTCTGGTTTTATTGCGGCATCTTCCGACGATTTGTTACGAGTGTTCGATGCCGACTTTGGCCTTTTGAATATTCAGGATGAAGCACGAGCTATTGGAAAACTTCGCCCCTATCGCGAGGCATTGGCGATCCTTGCATACCTACAGTCTCGCCACTTCACCGAAATATTCTCAACGCATAATATCACAAAAGATTTGCCGAAATTGAAAGATTCTCCAGGAATCAGCGCCGTAGCTGGAATACTAGTCATACCTCTTAGCACCGGAGGAAACGATTTCTTGGTTTTTTTCAGAAGAGGTCAACTTCGCGAAGTCAGATGGGCGGGTAACCCTTATGAAAAGATCAAGCCTGCGAAAGGGCAGTATCTAGAGCCAAGAAGTAGTTTTAATCGCTGGACACAGACTATCAAAGGCACTTCTAAAGTATGGAACGCTGATGATTTCGAGACTGCATCTGTACTAAGTCTTCTATATGGAAGGTTCATTGAGATTTGGCGACAAAAGGAATCAACAGGACTCAATCGAATGACTCGCCTTCTACTGAAAAATACCAGTCACGAAGTTCGCACACCTTTGAATGCTGTTGTTAACTATCTCGAAATGGCACTTGAAGACAGAATCGAAGGTCCAACCCGCGACTTGTTAGAC